CACAACTGCCCCGGGTCCTTTCCAAGCCTGAGTCATCTGGTTCTTTCTCATTCCAAAACAGACCCCGCAGAGACCTCTGGTTTCCTGTCCACATGTAAGAAGTCTGAAGGTGGTCCCTCTCGTCCATACAAAAAAAATTGTTGAACAAATGGAAAATCAATAATGTAACTTATTGAGTGGAAATTTGGGAGCAGAAAGCTTCAGGGAAACCACTGCCAGATTCCTTTATCCAGTTCATCATGTCTGGTTTTCAACACAATAGACCCTACACATTCCCTTCCTTGGTTTAATGTAGACATGAGGACATAACGTGTGAGGGTGGCTCATATCACTCAACCCTGATGAACACAGCCCAGACACGCCTATATTCTTTCATATCTTCTTTGGCTACCAAGTGCCCGCTAAATGAAAGGTGGTGTACTTGGTCTCTGTGAGAAATATGAAAATGTGGGATTCTTACTTCCCTGGGGCTCAAAACCTATCGGAAGCAGGTTTACAAAAGTAACCGTAAGTACAAGTTTGCTTGTGATCTTCCACTTCAACAGAGGCACCAGGAAGTGCTGTGGGAAATTAAGTTTGACTATGGATATTTGGGAAAGCTTTATAAAAGTCACGACATTTGAACTGGGTCTAAAAGGTTTTGAACAGACCCAGATGGGGGTTGGATGGTTTTCCTGTACCATCCAAGGGATGGAAATGAGGATACAAAAAGTTGGGACTAGAACAGGAAGGATAAAGAATGGGAAGGGACTGGAGGTCAGAGGCCTTGGAGTTGTGGGACCAGACCTGTGATTTAAATAAAGCGGACAGCTTGGTGTAAGATGAACTGAACTAGAAAGAGGAGAGACTGTTAGGGAGGTCACTAGGAAAGGCAGTACAGTGAATGTGAGGTAGTACAGCCTCTCTGAAGGAATCCTGCAGAAGGTGTGTGATGGAGAGAACAGGGCGGTCCAGCCACGTCCTCTGTGAGAACGGAATGCATGGGCCGCTTCTGTGAAAGGCTGTGAGCCTTAATGCAGCCTTTTTCTTTAGCTCTGCTTTCAGAATGCATCTTTCTCCACCTTCTCAGTGCTGCCCTCCCCACCGTGCCATTATTTGTGCACATTGCATTTTAGTTGTATCCCTGACTATTAAGTTACAGATTTCCTAAGGATCCAGTGCCTTCCCTTTCAGAATGAGGAAGCTGGAGTCTAGAGGAACTGAGAAGCCTGCCCAAGGCTGAGCAACTGTTCTTAAGGTTGGCACCCAACCCAAGCAGGTCATTTGACCTCTCTAGTCCTCAGCGTCTTCATCTATAAATGGAAATAAAAATTGTTCTTATTTCATAGGATTGTAGTTCATATTAATAAGATTGTGAAGGTAAACTGCTTAGAATAGTATCTGGAACATAAGACGAATGTTTACAATTACTATTATTATTATTGATTGCTTAGATATCATTATTGTTTTGTCACCTAGAGCTTTGAATGTATATACAGGGTCTGGCAGAAGAAACACCTTCTTGAGTGTGGCTGGTAGGGTAATAATATGGGTGTAACAATTTATAGTTTTAATTTCAACATTTCACCTAAAATGTCATATGGTGTGGTTGAGTGTGATATTATTATGTTACAGAATTACTTGCTTATGATTTTGTAATGAAAGAATTTGTAATAAAGCGGGCATGTTATTTGTGCCAGACCCTGTATAATTCCCTCATTCAGCCAATAGGTATTTACTGAGAATCTACCTTGTGCCAAGCACAATGCTAGGTGCTGGGTATAGATTCTGGCCCTGACCTCAGATATTTCATAGGTCAGCGGGTGCTGGTGTAATGCAGGCCTGGCCTGGAGAGCTACAGGAAGATAACGCAGCAGGCTCAGGGAAACTTTAAAGAGAAGACATTTGATCTTCCTTAAGGATGAGTTTGGCAGCTGGGGAAGAGAAGAGAAAGAGCCTCCCAGGCATTCAAGCCTCAGCAAAGGCTGGAGAGAGAAGGCTGTGGTCAGGGGTGGTCAAGGAAGGCAGTGGTGAGAAAAGAGGCTGCAGAGGGAGCCTGGGGCCACACAGAGAAAGGTTCTTTACAAGTAAATTGCCAGCTTCCTGTCTGTCCCTTAGGGGTAATTAGCAGAGTGCTTAATTCAAAAAATGACTTGACTGATTTTTTTCCCCCCTTAGACATACATGGAAAAAAATGGACTCTCTCAGCTTTGGGTGGTAGCACCACTGTGTTGATTCCCAAATCTACATTGTTGGTTCTCTCTTCTCTGCGCTGAGCCCAAATGGCCAGATGCCTCTGTAGCTAAAACGTTAAGAGTCCCCCAGCCCAGTAGTTTCTCTTTCCCCTCCACACTGCCCTTCATTAGGCAGCTGGACCACAGGACAGTCAGTGCCTTACTAAGTGGAGGAAAAACTTCTGACAGTCAAAAGTCCAGGCCTTCTAGGGACCCTCAGGATGCTGGGGAAAAAATAAAATAAATAAATAAAATAAATAAAAATATTTTAGCAAAATAAAATCAAATCATTAGCAAGTAGCTTCTGAGGAAAGATGCCTGTGCCCTGCCTGCCTCTTCTAACTTGGCCTGGAGGGTGGCGGTGGGAATGGCAATAGAAACCACAGTTGGGTTTGGGAAGCTGGAGCAGAGAACCCTTATCCCCAGGTCTCTGGTGGACCCCAGAGGCAGCACAGCCGAGGTGCCAGAGTGGGCATGGCCGTGTGAGCGTCAGAGCAGCTGGGCCCACACAGCACCAGAAACAGGATTTGGGGTGAGGAATGAATTCCCTTCAGCCTAAGAAGCACAGAGAAGAATCAAGGAACAAGGGACCCCTCAGCCATGAGCTGTGTAGACCGAGTACAACAAGGCTCTGGATGAGCCTCCAGGACTTATATCTAGTCCTAGGGAAAAGCAGGAGACACTCCCTGACTGACTTACTGTGTTTTTCAGACTATAAGACACACTCCCCCCACCAAAAATTTGGGAGGAATAATGGTTGTTAATGCTGCTGTTGAGTTCTGTTTATATTTACATTGGGTGAAATATTATGTTATTAAATATTTTACCACAATTGTTTTGAAGCAAACAATTTTTTGCTTCAAAAATTGGTTTCCTATTTTCCTCCTCTAAAACCTAGGTGCGTCTTATGGTGTGAAAAACATGGCAAATTTCTGTCACCCTGAGAGAAGGGAATAGGACTTAAAGAAAAGTAAATTTGCTTTTTTATACATCTGAGGTTGAGGGCTATCCCCAACACCCACATTACAAATTCATCTACAGTAAACTTTAAACTCACTATGTGTCACATTTTATTTTAGTGAATGCTTCTTGGGTACCCATTAAATGCAAGGGACCCAGAAGAGTTCAATGGGGTAGACATATACACAGGGTTTGGATACTCAAAGTACATGCAGCGGGTGTTGAGTGCCCAGAGGAAACACTGATTGGTGGGAGAGAAAAGCCTTGAAGCAGGGGCTGGCACTGGCCCAGGCTTAGAGGGATGGGTAGAAAACTGATGGGGAAACAGAAGTGGTTTCCAACGGTCGGAGAAGTTGGTCAAGCTTAGAGCACAAGGCTGGAGGGGAGGGCCCGCCAGGGACTAGAGTGCCCAGATCCCCAGGTGTGGCTTTGGTGCACTGCACTTCATTCTCTAAATGCTCAAGGTCATATTTTGATGGTTTCCTCCTCTCTCTTCTCAAGGCCAAGTACTTTTCAAGTTTTTTTTTTGTACTTGGTGAAATTTCATATAACTTTAAGAGCAATAAACATAAAACATTTAAAAATAATAATAACAACTACCATTTAGGGATTTGGCCTACTATTAAGCTTTTTACCTAAATTATCTTCTTTACTCTTACAATCCTAAATATATATATATTTTTTTCCTAAATATATATAATCCTAAATATAATTATATATAATACATATAATTATATATAACATATATAATTATATATAAAATATATATATAGTCCTAAATATAATTATCCCATATAAGGAGAGTATTAACCCCCCCCTTTTCCCACCTCTACCCTAATCCTAATTATGTCTAAAATACTACAGAGGTTTTTCCAATGTGTTTTATATCATCCAAAGTGGTGTTTGCCATGTACTTATATTATTGTTTTCTTAAAAATAATTTTAAATTAAGCCTCCAAAGTGATCTTGTCTTTAAAGCTTCTTCTGCTCTCCATCCAGCTATTAATTATAATTTTACATTTCTCTTCCTCAATGTGATTTTTTAAGCTTAAATTTAATTGTTCAAAACCTACTCAATAATTCCTACCCATCTGCCTCTCATCATATGTTGCCCTTTCTAGGATTTTCTTCAAGTTGTTTTCCTGTTGTTGTTGTTTTTTTCCTCCCAGGAATATGCATCCCCCCCTCGGCAAAGTCCGAACATGAAATTATACCCATTCTTTAACGCCAGGCTAAAATGCTACCTCATACAGGAAGCCTTCTTGAAGTCTTCCCATCAGAATGACTTCTCTATTCTCATGAGCATTGCTTCCATGTCCACTAGATTGTAAACCCACACCTTATATTTCTTGCATATTATATGTACCCCCATGCTCACAGTAGAGTTTTACTCGTACAAATATTTGCTGAATTATGTTTAAAAAATTTTTTTTAACAGGCCAAAAAGGAGCCACTTATGCTAAGACTCACATCACCAAACTTAATTGCAGTCTTGGGCAGGACAGACCACTGCCATCCCCTAGGAAAGTGACCTTGCCACAACCAATCTGCTTTCTGCTAGTATAACTCCTTGTTCACGCTCCCTTCTGCCTATACAAGTCTTTCATTTTGTGTAACTCTCAGAGGTCCTTTCCGTCGTCTAGATGAGATACTGCCCAGTGCATGAGTCATTGAATAAAGCCAATAGGATCTTTAAAAGTTTTTCAGTTGAGTTTTTAAAAATTTAATCTTTATTATATTTTCCATTACTATTTAGTCCCCTTATACCCCCACCCGAGTTTTGCTTTTTAATAATTGAATCAGAGAGAAACAAATTTATACTTTACAATCAAGTTCTCAGAGTGTTCCCTCCCCAAGTTCTGTTCCTTCAGCATATACTCTAGATTTGGGTGGTGCCACAATCATTAACACAATCGTTTCCTCATTTCCCCTAGTTATTTGTCCCCTGAAACAGAGGCAGAAGGAGCTAGGTGAGCATCTGGCAGCCAGAACTGCCCATATGCCTGCCCCAAGCCCTCAGCAAGCAAACACACCCAGGTGTGTGCGGGTGTGTGCGGGTGTGCGGGTGGGGGCTGCTTTGGAACCTCCAGCCATTGGAGCGGCCTCCTCTGGGTGCCTGCTGATGCTGTGGCCGACTGTGGTTTTAGAGAGCTGGGATCACTGCAGCTGGAAACCTGGAAAATATTCAAAAATCAGACCCAGAATCCAGCAGATTTCCCAAAGAAAGGGAAAGAGGAAGTGTGGAAGTAGAGGGGAATTCAGTGAGGTCTTGATTTCCTTTTCAAACTGATGGAGAGAGGTTAATGAGGAAGATATGTCCCTGAATCATTTAAGACATACATGAACAAAACACTGAATGTCTCTATTTAAAAGATGCCCATTCAAATGTGCCTCAAAACGTTCAGAGAGGGGAAAGACAAAGTCCTTTTATTAAGAAATCATTGTCCAAAGTGTTGTTGCAAAGTAGAGAAGCTTACATAAGTAATAAACAGGTAAGCTGCCAGAGAAACCAAATACAACCATATGCTGAGCATATATCATGGGCAAAGTCTTAGAAGCTTATATTAAAGTTCTTAAGATGGAAGTAAAAGAAAACTGTACTTGAACAATAATTAAATTTTTAAAAATTGAAAAAAGGATAATAGCTAAAATAAAATATATTTAATACTTAAAAAAATAAAGTTCTTAAGATGAAGACAAAGGGTTAGTAGGTACACAAATGACTTACTCCACCTTCTAGAATACAGACAATTATGCATAGAGAATAGTTTGTAAGAACAAAAGTAATCTAGTGTCCTTGTTCCCACAGAGGTAACATAGACAACAGAATAAGATTTGTCTTTAATTTGTTACTAATCAAGGGGGAAAAAAAGCATACACATTTGAACTACCAGACTAAGCAAGACCATATCATGCCATCCAAATTTCTCACTTCGTTGATGAGAAAAATGATTCATAAACTATTTGATGACTTGCTCAAGATCATCAAAGATACCAGTTCAAATTCATATACTCAGAGAAACCAAAGGAAATAAAGCCAAGAACTGGAAGCCATATCATATTTAAACAATTCTTACAGATAGCATGAGGGATGGGAGATTCATGAAACCAGGCTTAATGGCTTTGGCCACTCTCCCAAACAGAAAGGTGTCTGGCCCCAGCATCTGGTTATCTATGTGCCCCTAGACTAGGAGGTCAACCAGCAAGTCAGTTTTAAAATCATGGTGGCTTTTAGAAAACAGACATTCAGGGAGAAACCAGAAAGAAGAGAGGGAGGGAAAGTTGAATCCTTTTAAAAGCTCCCTACAAAAGGCAAAGAGTTCTCCTCAACCAATCCTGACCCATCCTGACCTCATGCCCTTGTTACCTAAGGTCAGCTTAGCACTTTAGAAATGGTCCTGGCTGGCTCTGTAACCTCTGTCATTCACAACTAACAAATATGGCTTTACAGGGGTCACCTCTTGGCCAGAAACTGGCAGATTCTTTTCTTTCAATTCATGTATTACCCAAAAATCTCTCTGGTTTCTGTTAAGAAATTCAAGCTGTCTAGTTTAAAACCCTTTTCACTAACACAGGATGCCGCAATAATTTTCACTAATACCAAATTCTCTAGAGAGTCTAGATTAATACACAGTTTGGAAAACTCACAGAACAAACATAGCATATGCCCTCATAGACTTTCATGCTGCTATTCAAGAAGGAGAGAACCCAGGACGGCTAGAAACTGAAATATTAGGAATCTAAATAAGTCCTGTCTTTAGAAGAGTTGTCGGCAGTCTCTCTGGTGTGTAGAGATGCTTGGAGAGAAAGAATGGGGCCTACACAGGCAAATAATCATCCTCAGTTATTAGTTCTTATCATACTGTCCAAGGTTGACAGATCAAGAACAACTTGTTTAGAGGGAGAAGTCTCCCTGTGCAAATAGACAATTAGAACAACTGCAGACTTCCGGTCAAGATAGAGGCGTAGGTAGACACACTGTGCCTCCTCGCACAACCAAAATAAAGACAACAAAAATTTAGAAATGAAATAACAATCAGAACTGACAGAAAATTGAACTGTATGGAAGTCAGATAGCCAAGGATCTGAAATAGACACATTCATCTAGACAAGTAGGCAGGGCAGAGCTGGGCAGCTGAGCAGGGAGGGGTTGAAGCACAAGAAGCAGTGACACCAGGTACACAAGGCACCCTGGGCGCACAAGATGACAGTGGGCAGACCCTGGGTGCCCAGGCAGCGGTTGGAAGGCTCCGGGCATGGGGTGGCGATGGGCAGACCCAGCAAGGGGGCGAGTGTGAAGCAAGGCATGGTGCGCACGGTGGCTGGCTGACCGGGTGGTCCCACATTCGTATGCATATAACTGGGGAGCGAGACAGACCCCGCAACCCAGGGTCCCAGCATGGAGAAATAAAGCCTGAAAAGACCTGTGGGGGTTGAGGCACACGGAGAGACTCCCAGCCTCGCAGGAGAGTTCACTGGAGAGACCCACAGGGTCCTAGAATGCACACAAGCCCAACCACCCAGGAACCAGCACCAGAAGGGCCTAATTTGCTTGTGGATAGCAGGGGAGGTGACTGAAAACTGACAGAGAGCAAGCACCATTTTTCCCTCTCAGATACCCCCCCCATACAGTGTCACAACCCAGACATTGGATTGCCCCGCCCTGGTGAACACCTAAGGCACTGCCCTTCTGTATGTAACAGGTGCAACTAGACAAAAAAAAAAAAAAAAAAAAGCTGAAGGCTGAAAAGGAAGAACAGATCAAAGCTCCAGAAATAATACAACTAAGCTACAAAGAGATAGCCAACCTATCAGATGCACAATTCAAAGCACTGGTGATAAGGATGCTCACAGAATTGGTTGATTTTGGTCACAAATTAGATGAAAAAATGAAGGCTACACTAAATAAAATGAAGAAAAATGCACAGGAAACCAATAGTGATGGGCAGAAAACTGGGACTCAAATCAATGGAGTGGACCAGAAGAAAGAAAGAAACAACCAAACAGAAAAGAATGAAGAAACAAGAATTTAAAAAAAATGAGGAGAGGCTTAGGAACCTCCAGGACATCTTTAAATGTCCCAACATTGAATTATAGGGATACCAGTAGGGGAAGAGAAAGAGCAACAAGTGGAAAACTTATTTGGACAAATAATAAAGGAGAACTTCCCCAATCTGGCAAAGGAAATGGACTTCCAGGAAGTCCAGGAAGCTCCAAGGAGTCCCAAAGAAGTTGGACCCAAGGAAGCACACACCAAGGCACATCATAACTAAATTACCCAAGATTAAAGAGAAGGAGAGAATCTTAAAAGCAGCAAAAGAAAAGGAGACAGTTATCTATGAAGGAGTTCCCTCCCATAAGACTGTCAGCTGATTTCTCAAAAGAGACCTTACAGGCAAGAAGGGGCTGGAAAGAAGTATTCCAAGTCAAGAAAGGCAAGGACCGACATCCAAGATTGCTCTATCCAGCAAAGCTTTCATTTAGAATGGAAGGGCAGATAAAGTGCTTCCCAGATAAGGTCAAGTTAAAGAAGTTCCTCATCACCAAGCCCTTATTATATGAAATGTTAAAGGGACTTATCTAAGAAAAAGAAGTTAAAAAAACATGAACAGTGAAAGGACAGCAAACTCAGTTATTAACAACCACACCTAAAACAAAAGCAAACTAAGCAAACAAAAAAGGAACAGAAACACAGAAATGGAGATCACATGGAGGGTTAGCAACAGGGGAGTGGGCGGAGGAGACAGGGGAAAAAGGTACAGAGAATAAGTAGCATAGATGGTAGGTAGAAAATAGACAGGGGGAGGGCAAGAATAGTATGGGAAATATAAATGCCAAAGAACTTAAGACACATGAACTAAAGGGGGGAATGTGGGTGGGAGAGGTTGCACAGGGTAGAGGGGAATGAAGTGGGGGAAATGGGACAACTGTAATAGCATAATCAATAAAATACATTTAAAAAAAGAAAAAAAAGAACAACTGCAGGTAATTGGCATGGTTGCCAATTTGCAATTTTATTCAAGGCAGGAGAGCAATCATTATTATTGATTAAGAATTATTATACCCACTATGCAACTTTTAAGTTCCTTACATATACTGTAAAGATATCTTATTACTTAAGGTTTTGCCATCTCAAGATTGTCTCTAGCTAGTCTTCAAATGCCAATACAGCACCATCCAAATTCAGCAAGGCTCCCTTATAAGAGTGGAGTTCGCTTCCAAATTCTGTTCCTCAGACTTTCTTTCCCTAACTAAGTTTATATTCAACCACACTGTGCTGGATGTTAGGGATTCAGAACTAAGTAAAACATAACCCCTAACCACGATGAGCTCAAAATGATGGAAAGGGAAAATCACCTGTAAACCAATGAGCAAAACAAAGGGTAGTGTAAATCAGAATTGGGCAGAGGAAATGCACAGGAGCAGGGTGTGGCAGGGAAGTGGTGAGAAAGTGTTTCATACAAAGGGTGTGGCAGTGTGGTAGTCTGCCTCTAATAGGGCCCTGATTAGCCTCCCCTTCTGCTATTCACACCCTGTATGGTACCATACCCCCCCCACACACACACAGTGTGTCAGAGTTAGACTCTGTGACCTATGGGAGATGATGGGAGTGTTGGTCTGTGACTTGGGAAGCTAGATCATGAAAGACATTGCTTTGCTCTCTCGGATCACTCACTCTGGGGAAAGTCAATAGTTACTACATCTAGAGGACTTTCAAGGAGCAGAAGAGAGCCCCATGTTGGGGAAGAGGGAGTCTTTTCACCAAGAACCAGCATCGACTCGGTGAGTCACCTGGGAAGTGCATCTTCCAAGCCCAGCTGACACCTTGGCTGCAACCTCACGAGAGACCCTGAATTAAGACACCCTCGAAAGTTCTAATCCACTGCCATAGCCAGAATAATAACTCCCTCTCCAAGATGTCTATCTCCTGATCCCAAGAACCTGTGACTATGTTACATTACATAGCAAAGGGGATTCAGGGTAGCTGATGTAATTAAAGTTGTTCATCAGCTCTCCTTAGATTAAGGAGGTTATCCTGGATTATCCATGTGACTACAAGTATCCTTAAATGTGGAAGAGGAAGGCAGGACAGGTCAGATGGAGGGATGTGAGAACTCAACTGCCACTGCTGACTTTGAAGGTGGAGAGAGGGGCACCAGAAAAGGAATGTGGT